CAATGGCAGCTAACCCACTTCTTGTGGAGTTAAGCCACTTCTTGTGCAGTTAAAACCGATGCTAGTTACGGGGAAACCGAACTCGGCTTATACGGGGCGGGGAAGGCCCGTTAGCTTCATCGGACTCTTATTAAAAATATAGATGGATAAAGATTAAAAAAATAAAATAAAAAGGCACCATTTTGAAAAATTCATTCGAAGACCACACCTTTTCCCCACGCGTGTTCTCGAAACACGCCAAGAAAAGGCCCCGATTCGTGGCTAGGACGCGACCCGTCCTACCTGCCAGGGTCGGCGTTCTCCTTCGGCTCGCGGGGAACGGATCCGACCCGCCCACCCCAAAACGGGCATCCGCCCCCCAACACACACACACGTGTCCTTTGGAACACGCGAGGCCCCCCTCCTCCTCCTCAAAGCTTCTTCAAGCGGCTGTAGTGCTCTCGTTTGCTCTTCTCGCCCGCCCAGGTGCGGCTGCGCGTGCGAAACCTGCGGAGGTCGTCCTTGAAGTCCTTGTGGTGCATCGGGCGGTAGCTCTGGGGCTCGCAGTAGGGCTGGAAAGCAAAAAAAATAAATAAATATTTATATCTATATCGATCTATCTATCTCTATCTCTCTATCTTTATCTATCTCTATTGCTATCTATCTCTATTTATATCTATCTAATTCTCTATCTCTCTATCCAATCATCTATCTCTCTCTATCTCTATCTATCTATCACTATCTCTCTCTATCTATCTCTCTATCTATATCTTATTCTCTATCTATCTATCTATCTATCTATCTATCTATCTATCTATCTATCTATCTATCTATCTCTATCTATCCTCTATCTATCTATCTCTATCTATCCTCTATCTATCTATCTCTATCTTATTCTCTATCTCTCTATCCAATCATCTATCTATCTCTATCGCTATCTATCACTATCTCTCTATCTATCTCTATCTTATTCTCTATCTTATTCTCTATCTATCTATCTATCTATCTATCTATCTATCTATCTATCTATCTATCTATCTATCTATCTATCTATCTATCTTATTTTCTATCTCTCTATCCAATCATCTATCTCTATCTATCACTCTCTCTATCTATATATATATATCTTTATTTATCTATCTATATCTATCTATCTCTCTATATCTATGTATCTATCTCTCTCTCTCTATCTATCCTATCTCTCTCTCTCTCTTTCTAATCTAATCTATCTATGACCTGTCTGTCTCACGTGTCTGTCTTCTCTGTATATTTATCTCTATGTCTGTCTGTCTGTCTGTCTGTCTATCTATCTCTATCTATCTATCTTATTCTCTCTCTCTATCTATCTATCTCTCTATCTCTATCTCTCTCTATCTCTCTATATCTATATCTCTATCTATCTATCTCTCTATCGCTATCTATCACTATCTCTCTATATCTTATTCTCTATCCAATCATCTATCTCTATCTCTATCTCTATCACTATCTCTCTCTTTCTATCTCTATCTATCTCTATCTTATTCTCTATCTATCTATCTATCTATCTATCTCTATCTATCACTCACTATCTATCTCTAATTCTCTATCTATCTATCTATCTATCTATCTACCTATCTATCTATCTATCTATCTATCTATCTATCTATCTATCTAATCTTATTCTCTATCTATCTCTATCTAGCTATCTATCTATCTTATTCTCTATCTCTCTATCCAATCATCTATCTCTCTCTATATATCTATCTATCTATCTCTAGTATCTATATCTATCTATGTATCTATATCTATCTATCCTATCTCTCTCTCTCTAATCTATCACCTGTCTGTCTATCTCACGTGTCTGTCTGTCTGTCTTCTCTGTATATTTATCTCTATGTCTGTCTGTCTGTCTATCTATCTATCTTATTCTATCTATCTATCTATCTATCTATCTATCTATCTATCTATCTATCTATCTATCTATCTATCTATCTATCTATCTATCTATCTATCTCTATCTATCACTATCTCTATCTCTCTATCTATATCTATCTACGGTATATCTTATTCTCTATCTATCTATCTATCTATCTATCTACCTATCTACCTACCTACCTACCTACCTACCTACCTACCTACCTACCTACCTACCTACCTACCTATCTATCTATCTATCTATCTATCTATCTATCTATCTATCTATCTATCTATCTATCTATCTAACTAACTCTATCTATCTCTCTATCTATCTATCGAGAGAGGGAGAGACAAAGAGACAAATAGATATATATTTATATTTATTACCTTGCATTTGAGAAAGAAGTCCTTGTAACCCCCTTTGAGGATGTAGAGCTCTGGGTAGTGCAGGCTGGGATACTGGTTGCCGAGCCGGTCTCGTTCCCTGACAAATCGGCACCTGGCGGGGTGAGGAAGAAGAGGAAGAGGAGGAAGAGATCAAACAAGGCCCCTCGCTCTTGACCGACAGACAGACAGACAGACAGGGAGGGCGGCGACAGCTGAGAAGATCTTTGGGGCAGAAACTGGAGCAAAGGAGGAAGAGGAGCGGGATCGAATTCAAGCACACCGGAGGCCCAATTCAGAGAGCCAGCCTCTTCCTCTTCCTCGGCTCAAGCAGCCCGCCAGCCCTCTTCTTTGCAGAGGCAGAGGAGCATGGTCTTTGGGGTACTTACATCCGGGGGGCCCGCTCGGAGGAGAACTCGCAGTGGAAGACGACCACCACCCGCCGGCCGCCGGAGGAGGCCACGGGCGTCTTCAGCAGATAGTCTTCCACGTCTTCCTCCATGGGAAGGTTGATGGCGCCCTGGAGGGAGGACCAAGGGAGTTGTCGAAACAAAAAGGAGACGGTTTGTGAGTGTGGCTTTTCGCCACAACGGCACAACTTCGAAGGCGAGCTGGTCGGCGAGAGAAGCCGGCAACATCCGGGGCACTTTGGAGCTATTTGAGGCGTGAGATTTGGAGGCTGCCCGTGGCCTCAAAAAGGCGACCCTTGGACTATGTACATGGATATGCTAGAGAGACAGACAGATGATAGACAGACAGACAGACAGACAGACAGATGATATAGAGATAGATAGACAAACAGATATAGAAACAGATATAGACAGTCAGACATAGGGATAGACAGAGTAGACAGACAGACAGACAGACAGATGAGATAGATAGATAGATAGATAGATAGATAGATAGATAGATAGATAGATAGATAGATAGATAGATAGATAGATAGATAGATAGAAAGATGATATACAGAGACAAACAAAGATATAGAGATATAGATAGATGATATAGAGATAGATATAGAAAGAATATAGATAGATAAAGAAAGATAGATAGATAGATAGATAGATAGATAGAGATAGATAGATAGATAGATAGATAGATAGATAGATAGATAGATAGATAGATAGATAGATAGATAGATAGAGATAGGTAGCTAGGAAGGTAGGTAGGTATAGATATACATAAATGGATGGATGGATAAACAGATATAGAGATACATAGAAAGATAGAAAGATAGATAGATAGATAGACAGACAGACAGACAGACAGACAGACGAGAGGATGAGAGAGAAAGAGAGAGAGGCAGGCAGGCAGACAGAGACAGACATAGATGTAGACAGACAGATATAGACATAGGGATAGATAGACATGATGGATGGATGGATGGATTGATGGATAGCTAGCGATAGATAAATATAGAGATGGATAATAGAGATGATGGATGATAGATAGCTAAACAGATACAGAGATAGAGATAGAAATATAGATAGAAAGATATAGATACATAGATGATACACAGATAGACAAAGAGATATCGATATAGAGGTATAGATAGATAGATGATATAGACAAATATAGAGATATAGAGATATAGATAGATAGATAGATAGATAGATAGATATAGATAGAAAAATAGATAGAGACATAGAGATATATAAAGAAAGAGAAATGATAGATAGATAGATAGATAGATAGATAGATAGATAGATAGATAGATAGATAGATAGATAGATAGATAGATAGATAGATAGATAGATAGATAGATAGATAGAGATAGGTAGGTGGGTAGGTAGATATAAATGGATGGATGGATAAACAGATATAGAGATACATAGAAAGATAGATAGATAGATAGATAGATAGATAGATAAACAGAGATAGAGATAGAAATATAGAAAGATATAGATACATAGATACATAGATGATACACAGATAGACAGACAAAGAGATAGAAATATAGAGATATAGATAGATGATATAGACAAACAGATATAGAGATATAGATAGAAAGAGATATAGATAGAAAGAGATATAGATAGATAGATAGGTAGGTAGGTAGGTAGGTAGGTAGATAGATAGATAGATAGATAGATGATATAGAGATAGATATAGATAGAAAAATAGATATAGAGATATATAAAGAGAGATGATAGATAGATAGATAGATAGATGATATATAGATAGAAAAATATAGAGATTATAAAGAAAGAGAGATGATAGATAGATAGATAGATAGATAGATATAGATAGATGATATAGAGATAGATATAGATAGAAAAATAGATATAGAGATATATAAAGAAAGAGAGGTGATAGATAGATAGATAGATAGATAGATAGATAGATA